GGGGTTGGATCAACGATGGTTGAATGTTGGGTTGAAGTATGTGGAGTAATAGTTGAATATTGAGTTGAAGTATGTGGGGTCGGATCAATAATAGTTGAATGATAGGTTGAAGTATGTGAGAATGGATCCATAAGAGTTGAGAATCGTGTTGAAGTATGTGAGGTTGGATCAATAATAGTTGAATGTTGAGTTGAAGTATGTGGAGTCGGATCAATAATAGTTGAATGATGGGTTGAAGTATGTGAGAATGGATCAATAATGGTTAAATGTTGGGTTGAATGGGTTGGATTAATAGAAGATGCATATATTTGAAGAGTCGGTAGAGGAGGCATAAGTATAGGATTTGACTTAGCAAATAATGCAGTAGTTAATAAAATAGCGACAAATATTAAATACGACTTCATTTTATATATTCATATATAATAATCGAAGGAATTTGTGAGAGTAATTTCGGATAAGGTGATGATTTGTAAAGGAAGGGTGAGTGAAAGAATAATTAATGAGAATGAGTGGCTCAATCTTTAATTTTAGTTGATGGTATGAGATTATGGAGAGATGTTATAAAATGTTTTTTGATGTCAATAAGTAATTGTAATATTGTTTAACACGTTGCATTAATTATGTCTGCGTTAAACCCTTTACATTATTTTAATATCGAGATTGGTACATTGTATATTACCTTACATATGTACGTTCGTACTACATAAACGTGTTACCTTAATTATCAACAATAATCAAAATTAATACATACAGTAATACACGATTAATGCATTACTCTACACAGAACTGTTAAAGAATCTTCTCTCAATTCGCAAAATCTGATTATAATTAGAAAACTAAATAGTAAAGCTAATCTTGAATAAATTAAAAAAAAATAATTTATACGATGTTGAGACCCAAGCCTTATAATAATATTTTCGGGTCCTAAAAAAGAGCAGCATTATTTACTATATGATAATTTCACAACCGAGTAGGGATGGGAATCGATTTTAAAATCGGATAACTTTATCGATTAATCGGATTAAAAAAAAAAACTACGATTAATTTAACTTAGCCTGTATC